AGGGGGGCATGTTGTATTCTCCAGTTCTCCACAACACTCCACCATGGAGTGTTAACTATCCCATGTAGGCATCTGAGTTTGTAGCCTTCAATTTAATAAGTCTTGAGGCCAGACTATTGACAATGGATTACAGGCACAGATTCTGAAAGATCATGCTCAAGTCTCCCTTTTCATAGACTAGCACCTAACCCAATTTAAGAGACAATAACCAAGACTGACCTCAAGCATAATAAAGCCTTTCTCATATACTGCCTCTGCCTTCCCTCCAATCCCTTCTAGAAATTCTGTCAAGAATCCAAACTTTAATTACTGTATAATCCTGTCCAATTATTAACTTAGTACAGCACCTTCTCCATTTTCTCCTTTATCTTCAGAGCATTTAGAGATTGGCTATTCTGTATGTGCATATGAGGGGACGAGAAAGAGGAGAGGAATAGAGAGGTAATGATGATAATGCCCCCAGAGGAAGGAAGATGATCTCATTAAAACTATAATGTCCTAATTTCCATAAGGCTGGCCAGAGTCAGATCGGTTTGGACATAATTGAAGAATGTTGTAGAAAGAAAGGCATTTAGAGGTTTATAATGTAATCCATTCCCTTTTATCTGTACAGATAAGGGTAAGCCTCCTTATACAAGGTCACAAAGTCAAAAAATACTGACTACTCCCTCATGTTTCCTCTTCCTAGCCTAGTTCTACTTTCTAAACAATGTGAGCTGTGATCCACTGTGTCACTTCTACTAATGAAAAATGTTTCATTATAATCTGTAACTGTATTATTTCATCTAATTTATGGAAGATTACATTTAGATCTTGTTCTCAAATTTTTTGGCAAATACAAGAGAGATTTTTTTGTGTGTGTTGTTAGCTTAGTAAAAATGAAAGTAATTGAGTTGGTAGTGTGGGTGGGGTGGGCCAGTAAAACAAAGTATTTTATTATATTTTGTCTATTAATCTTAATCATCAGGTTAACTTTCAGGATGACTTAGTATTAAAGCACACATTTATCAATTTCGCTGACCTAAAATGCAACATAATAGCTCTCTACTCTTTCAGCTGGGACACTGTTTACTAAACTATCATTTCACATACCACCTCTGCAAGTTTGGCTTGCTATCTCACACACTACCTATACTAACATTTATATTTGTCTTTATATTGATTTAAAATTCACTCCTTTTTAATACTTTTCCTGCTCTAAACAATATCCATTAAATCAAAAGCTTGATGTGCTACTTTTTCTAATACACAATAAAATAATTATATAACTACTAAACTATGTCCATGGACATGCCATCTAAACTTATCTCAGGTAATGTCAGTGATACTTGTACTACATTTTGGATGAACTGGACTGACTGATAATTTATGAGTAAACAATAAAATAACTGTTCTCCAACATCTAACTTGAGTTAATTATTCTGATTTGTAGGAATGTACCAGAAATGCATGGTCCTATAACTAATTTCAACAGATATCAACCTAAGAAGCCTAGGTGTTCAGATTTCATTCTGCATAAGAAATGCATGAGATACACATTACCTTCCCCCAGAGATTCTGATTCACTAAGTCTGGGATGAGGCCCAAGAAGCTGCAATTTTACAGGCACTCCTGGGAGTGCTACTGCAGAAAGACCACATTTGGAAAAATAGTGGATAGGGGTGGGATGAGTCGGACAAAATTTAAAAACCACTCTAGCTTTTCAATAAGATGGCTTGTGTTTAAATCCCAAGTCTAACAGTGTGACCCTAAGCAAATGAGTTAGCTTCTCTAGGCCTCAGTTTTCTCATCTGTTAAATGATGATTATAATAATAGCTATCTTATTGGAGGTTTTTTTTTTTTTTGGTTTTCTTTTCTTTTTAATAAACAGGGTCTCACTATGTTGCCCAGGCTAGAGTACAGTAGCTTTTTACAAGCATGATGAGAGTGCACTAGGGCCTCAAACTCCTGGGCTCAAGCAATGCTCCTGCCTCAGCCTCCTAAGTAGCTGGAGACTAAAGGCTTATGCCACTGCACCCAACTTCACTGAGTTATTTTAAGGCTTAAATGAATGACATGTCAAAAAGCATTACAAGAACATAGAGCCCTATATATGCTAAAGAGTTGATGACGATGATGATGATGATACAAAACCACTCTCAGCAGTCTACAACTCAGAAGTCAATCAGCATTTCAAATAATATGCAAGCACTCTATAGATAGAAACATCTGTTCCCATTTAATTACTAAAATGTTGAATTTAATCTATAACCCCCAAATTAAGTGTGCATTTCAAATAAGATATTTATACAATAGTTAATTTCAATTATTATTGACTATTGACTCTAACTTCAATCCTCAAGGAACTTTCTCTGGTTAACCCCATGCAATGGCTCTCATGCAAGAAGGATCTGAAAGGCCCATCTTGGTTACCCTGATTTTAAGAATTACTTTATAAGTAGCATGTACAATTATCCCATGGTTTAGAAATATTTTATAGTCTTATTATTTTAAAAAACCTCCTTAAAGAAAGCATAACAACTCCTAAATTATAAATTTAATGCCAACTTTACAGATTTAGCGACAGGGCAAATATGAAAAGATAGTTACAAAACATGTTTCTAACAATAATTCATCAGGGCTATAGCTACGATCTCATATAGGGAATTTGAAATTTAATTTCTAAAGTAAAGAAAAGCCTTATTTTTTTCTGAATACCATCTGTTTAAACATTCCAACATGAGCTAATTCTGCTACACGAAACTTGTAAGTTGACTAAAATGGAAAAATCTTAACTGCTTCAAGTTAAGAGTACAGATTCAGGCTGATCTATTAATGTAATGTTAGAAAGCTATGCACACAGTCAACATCCAATCTTTTACAGAATCTGTAAAATACAATTCAGTTGTTAGTTGAACAACTATTCAACCACAATGAAAACATTACAGTTAACTCATAATTGTCCTTAAAGAAAACCCCTCCAAGGTCTGAGAGCTAATTCTCTGCTAATATGAGTCCTCTAGCCTCTCCACTCAGAGGGCAGTTTCTTAGCTAAGGTGGGGATAATAGTGCAACTGGGACTAGTGAGATTTAAGGCTGCTCACTGGCTAGCCACTCAGGTATCAGTGATGCAGGAAATGCTTCTCCCACCTGGAGAAAGTGTGTTTGCCTAGCTGCGTTTTAAGGTCCAGGAGCCCTAAGCATATCCTTTGTGGGGAAACACGAACACCAAATAGCAACGAAAATTATTAAGAAATATACTGTTACTCATCCAGCTGGGCAGATTATCTAATGTCTACCAGGCCACAGCTATGTCTTCCTTTGATAGGCATAATCAACAACATCTGCTGAGTTGGATGAAGCAAGAGATAGCATCATAGCCAAATCTCAATTCTTTGGCCTCTTGAGTCAGTTTCTGCACTTGATATCACATGAGCTAAAGAGGGACTGAGGCTACAGTCTCTAAACGAGGAGCAACTATTAAGAATTAATTAGGATCTGTATTCTAGTTCTTGGACTATTTACTTGTAAGGGTTGACTTCTGGCATCTCTATGATTCTGAGATACTGTTTACTAGTGATAGTCCATGATAGCAAATGTATTTCAAATATATTTGTGAAAAATCAATCATCTCTTACCAATAAAAAAAAATTACTATAATAAACTGAAACCTCAATTCAAGCAAACACTACTACTGAAATGCAAATGTACCCACTAACAGTTCATTGACATTAAAACATAGTTAGTCTTTAGCCTTAACAAAGATGGAGCAAGAGATTTTTCTTGTTTGTTAATTGATTCGGTAAGTATTTAGCTAGCCGGGTGTGTAGCTCACACCTGTAATCCTAGTTGAGGTGGGTGGAGTGCTGGAACTCAGGAGTTCTAGACCAGCCTGAGTAAGGGCAAGACCCACCTCTACTAAAAACTTGAAAAAACAAACAACTACTAACCAGGTGTTGTGGTGAGCACCTGTAGTCTCAGCTACTTGGGAGGCTAACAGCAAGATCTCTTGAGCCAAGAGTTTGAGGTTCCTGTGAGATATGCCACCAGGGCACTCTACCCAGGGCTACAGAGTGAAACTCTGTCTCAAAAAAAAAGTATTCAGGGAGGGAGAAGGGAGGGGGGAATGGGTGGAGGGAGGGGGTTTGGAGGGATCACTTCTGAGGTTTATCTTATAGGGGTACAAGTGAATCTTTCTAAGAGTAGAATGTGAACGTTTTAAAACAATAACTGAGAAAATGACATGAAGGCTGTGTTG